CAGACTCCTGTCCAGGCAGCGTAGGTCAGGATTCTTGGGGGGCAGTGCCAGCCGTCAGTGTGCACAGAGGTTCCGCGGGGTTCCGGGCAGCGTAGGTCAGGATTCTTGGGGGGCAGTGCAGGCTGTCAGTGTGCACAGAGGTTCCGCAGGGTTCCGGGCAGCATAGGTCAGGATTCTTGGGGGGCAGTGCCGGCCGTCGGTGTGCACAGAGGTTCCGCGGGGTTCCACCGTGCAACAGTTTGGGAAGCGCTGCAGCCACTGTGGCTGGGAGCAGCTGGCTTGGCTGGTAGGAGGGGCCTGGCGAGGCTGAGCATGTGCTGGGCCCCTGCCCTGGAAACACCAGGAGCTGCCACCTCCTTCCCGGCGTCCACACCCGCTGTGGGCTCTGCCGAGTGTAGTTCCAGGAACACATCGTAAAGGCGACTTTTATACGAGCAGCTGCCACTTGCGAGTGCCAAGGGGAGTTTCTCTCTCTCTCTCTCTCTCTCTCTCTCTCTCTCTCTCTCTCCCTGGCGTTCCCTAGATAACATTCTGCTGGCTTCATTTTTTCTTTTTTCCTTCTGGTTTCTGCTGCTGGAGAGAATGACCTGGGCCTCACATAGCCTGGGCTTGCATAGGTCAGTTTCTCCATCTGCAGAATGGGCACACTCATTCCTGCTTGAGTAGCTCATGACGGGCAAGGGAATGGCAGGGATTTCTGGGGAAGGGGTGGGGTGGGGTAGGAGGCAGACTCCTGCCTGAAGGTGTGGACAGCAGGGACAGTTGCCAATCCCCATGGAAATGACAGCCTGGTAAGAACCTTGGGTTGGGGGCGGACAGCAAGTTAGGCCACCTCTTGCAATGCCCACATCCCATAATGTAGCACCTAATCAAGTCCTGGCTGCTCCGCTTCCGATCCAGCTCCCTGCAAATGTGCCTGGGAAGGCCGTAGAAGATGGCCCAACTCCCTGGGCCCCTGCACCCACGTGGGAGACCCAGATGGAGTTCTGGGCTCCTGCTTTCAGCCTGGCCCTGCTCGGGCTGTTACGCCCATTTGGGGAATGAATGAGTAGATGGAAGATTGCTCTCTCTCTGTGTCTTCCCCTCTCTCTCTGTCACTCTGCCTTTCAAGTAAATAAACAAATACATAAAAAAGTAAACAGAAAACCTCAAAGGCGCCCAACGGCATGGGCAAGAATCCTGGGGTTGCTAGGGACAGCCGTTCATTCTCGCGTGCCCGTGACAAGCTGCCTGAGGCAGGCTACTTTGTACAGAAAACAGGTGGATTTTGCCTTGTGCTTCTGGAGCTGTGAGGTCTGGGACTTTGCTTGCCTGGTAGCAGAGTCCCAGGTAGCCCAGGGCATGATGTGGCGAGAGATGGGGAGCAGGTGTGTCTGTGTCTGCCTCCCTCCTCCCGTAAAACACCGGGATTCGCTTATGGGGGCTCCACCGTAAGGATTTTATCTCAACCTCATCACTTCTCAAAGCCTCCTCCAGCCCCACAGTCAGGGGAAGCACCCCCCACCCCCTGAATACCTGGTGGTGGGATGAAGGCCCCGGGGACACTCAGACCATAGCCACGGAGTCCCCCAGCCCTGGACAGAGGCAGCATCAGCAGCCCTGGCGGGGACGTGACCACAGAGCCGCCCCCTACTGCCTTCCTTGAAGGCCACGTGTGGTTGACATCGGTGCCAGGTGGATCGGAGGCAAGGAGAGGTGGTGTGGCCCTGGTGCTGGCTTGGTCTGACCCCTGGCTCAGGGCCCGACACGTAATTAGCAGCGGACATTGATGTGGGGGCCATGGCGCCTCGCCGCTATGCCTGTCTGGAAGACGGTGGCCCCTGCAGTCACTATGTCGCCACCTAGGGCGTGGAAGTGGACGCTGAGCCGTCGACCCTGGCCGCACAGATCGCGAGGGGTCTGCGCTCGCTGGTGGCTGTGGTCATGTGCTCTGGGTGTCCATGCTGGACCAGGCGCCCTGACCATGGAGAGGCTCACTTAGCAAAGCCAGGTTTGCCCGGCTATGCTGGTCTAGTCTGGGCGGGGTCTGGAAGGCTTCTGACCACTAGGTGGTGCCAACAGCAAGGGCTCAGCTCCTTGATGGGCAGGCGCTCATCTGCGCCCTGCCCCAGAAATCCCGTAAGCAGGATTTCTCTGTAGCTTCCTTTCACTCGGCTTCGGCACTCGCAAAGGAAGCTTCCTTCTGGGGATCTTTAATGTGGCCAGCAGCCCCAAGGGAGTGGGGTGTCCTTCCCAACCCAGCCCAGAGTGGGCAGACCCCATGCTGCCAGGGACACCGTGGGGGGCAGGGGCTGCACAGCCCCAGTGGTGCACAGGGCAGTGACGCTCCTAAGGGTGCGCCGTGCACAGGATCTCCCAGGGCTTCTGTGCGCACGGTGCCCCTGCACCCTCCCAGCAGCCTCTGGAGCGGATGTTCCTGTGCCCATTCTGCAGATGCAAATGTTGAGGTTTAGGTTAGGAAGCTTGTCCGAGGCCACTAAGAGAGAACCCGTGTCTGACTATCTCAGGTCCCATGTTCTTTAAAAAATATTTATTTATTTATTTGAAAGGCAGAATTAAACAGAGAGGCAGAGAAAGAGAGAGAGAGGTCTTCCAGCCTCTGGTTCACTCCCCAAATGGCCACATTGGCTGGATCTGGACCGATTGGAAGCCAGGAGCCAGGAGCTTCTTCCAGGTCTCCCACGTGGATGCAGGGGCCCAAGGACCTGGGCCATCCTCCACTGCTTTCCCAGGCCATAGCAGAGAGCTGGATCAGAAGAGGAGCAGCTGGGACTTGAACCGGCGCCCATATGGGATGCTGGCACTGCAGGCCAGGGCTTTAACCCGCCACGCCACAGCACTGGCCCACCATCCAGCCCCCTATGTTGTTTCTTTGACACCCGAACTCAATGCTGATAGGTAATGTTCCAGGACACGACCTCTGGACATCTTGGACATCACATAACATCAAGCCCTGTTTATTCAATCTCCCTCTGCCTCCATCCAATTCCCCAACCAACTTGTAGGGAGCCCTGCTAAGCATCCCGCGTGGTGCCCCAGGCACAAGGCAGGGAAGGCTGCCTGGAGGAGAGGGCGCCTTCCCTTCTCAGCCAACAGCACCGTATACAAGGCCCATGGATGCTTACGCACCTCCAAGGGACTGGAGTCACTGTGCATGTGTGTGCACGTGTGTGTGTATGCGTGTGTGTGTACATGTATGTGTGTGTGGGTGTACATGTGTGTGCGTGCGTGGGTGGCGTGTGTGGGTGTGGTTGATTTTACTGACTTGAGATTTAGAGGCTTTTATTGTGTCTTATGTGTTTTGGGGAAAATGTAAACAAGGTAGGCAAGCTAGTGCCTCCCAGGTGAGCACTGTCCAGGTGAGCCTCGCCCAGGTGAGCGCCGCCCAGGTGAGCGTCGCCCAGCACTGCCAACCCCGGGGGAGCTCTCTGCCCCCTGCTGGAAAGCCTTGCAAAGCCAGGTGGCCCCCAGAGGCCCCCCTCGCTGCAGCCTTGATCCCCTTGATTTTCTTGAGTGTCCGCCTATGCCCTCACAGACAAGCCACCCTGTCCCCAGCACAGACAGTGCCACCCGGCCTGTCCCCATGGAGAGCACAGGCATCAGCCGCCAACCCCAGCACAGGCGTCTGCTACCCGTGTGTGCCGAGTCTGCGGGAGAGCCAGGCAGGAACAGCATCTCAGCCACAGGGAACAGCAGGGTGGCGGCCCTGAGGTCAGCCTGAAATCAAGCCTGGAGCTGGCAAGAGCCCAGCTTGGTGTTGGCCTGCCTGAGTGCCATGACCCCCACATCAATGTCCACTGCTAATTACGTGTCAGGCCCTGAGCCAGGGGTCAGACTAAGCCAGCACCGGGGCCATGCCATGTCTCCTTGCCTCTGATCCACCTGGCCCCCCACTCATCCAGCCAGGAAGGTGTCTGCCAGGGCCCAGAGTCTCTGCATGCTTCCCCAGGGGCGCCCGGCCCCTCACCCAGGACCCGGTGCCCCTCTTCTGTCCGTCTCCCCCACGAGCTGTGGGATGTTGAAGTCTGTCTTCGAAGGCCTGGGCTGGCTCGGCGAACCACAGTGGAGGGAAGGAAGGAGCCCCAAAGAGGCCAGCCTGCCGGGGAGAAGGACGGGGCTCACCCAAGTCCGGCTGATGCGGACGGCGTTGTCTTGGCCGTGCCCGTTGGGCCTGGGGGTCCCAGCTTCCTCCCCGGTAGACAGGTGGGAGGGGCATCGGGCTGAGAGCATGCTGAGGTCTGTGCACCAACAGAAAGCGCTGCCCTCCTCTCTGCACCATGGCCGAGAGGCCTGGACATCAGGCTCCATGTGTGGGGGTGGGAGGCGGCGGGCAGTCTGGTTCCAGCCTCCATTGGGGTCTTCCTAGGGCTCAGGCCTCCTCCAGGGCAGGGTGTAGGGCGCGGTGGGGTTCAGGGGGCAGCCAAGGAGGTGGGAGGGTAGAGGATTCTCTGGGAGACCCTGGACTCAGACACTGGGACCCCGCCCCCCTCCTGCTCTCATCTCTTTGGCCCTCGGTTTTCCTCCCACCATGGTCCATTGCTCTGTGCGTCACATCTGCCAAGTTAGAGACAAACGCTGAGGGATGGGTATGTGGTGGGGTACGGGTATGCTGGGGAGGAGTGTGGGTAGGGGAGTGGCCTGAGGGGTCCAGCGCCCTGAGCTCAAACCAGGGCCTGTGCCTGCAACAGGAGCTGTGATCACTTCCCCACAGCTGTGAGGAGCTACAGAGCTGTGCACCTGCTGCCGCCGCCCGCCAGGCTGCTGCGGCTCACGGCGGGAATGCAACAGCATTAAGAGGAGAGCTGGCAGAGGCTGGGGTTGAACAGATGCCGTGTGACTCAGAGTAGAGGATGGGACTGCATGATGCAGCAAAGAGCCTGGGCTATGGGCAGTTTGGGAGATGCTTGGCTATGGGAATGGCTGAAAGGAAAAGCCAGTGTAATGGGCATGTGACCGCAGAGCTCTCTGGGGTAGAGACCTCAGCCTCCACAGCCCCTTCACCTCTGCCCTTTCCCCACAGGCCCTCTCTCTGCTGCCCACAGCCATGGCCCCCACCGCAGCACCACAGGAGGAGACCACTTCCTCACGCCCCCAGTTCTGCAAGTGGCCGTGCGAGTGCCCGCCCTCTCCACCCCGCTGCCCGCTGGGGGTCAGCCTCATCACGGATGGCTGTGAGTGCTGTAAGATGTGTGCCCAGCAGCTTGGGGACAACTGCACGGAGGCCGCCATCTGTGACCCCCATCGGGGCCTCTACTGCGACTACAGTGGGGACCGCCCGAGGTACGCAATAGGAGTGTGTGCACGTAAGTGAGAACCCCCTGTACTTTCTGATCAGCCCTCAGCACCCCGGCTCTGCCCAAGGCCCCTCTCCCTGCCCCTGGACAGGTCTCTGTTCTACAGGAAGTGCTCTCTACCCTGGCCCATGGGTGGCCATAGGCTGTGCCTTTCCTAGGAAGAGAGGGATTCCTGCCCTCCTCTTGCCTCCGAAATCTCTCTCTCCTTGCTCTCTTCTCAGTCCTGGAGACACACTCGGGCCTGTCCACCAGGAAAGACCTCAGCCTGTTCTTGTCTCTTACCGGCAAGGTCTTTGGTCAATACCCATCACCTCTCCAGGATCCTAAAAGCTCCAGATATTTTAGAAGTATTATAAATTAAAGTGATGTAGTTTAAAAATCAGTAGACTTGAAAGAATGGAAACCAGCCATCTAAAAGCATTCCCTTCCTGCTAGCCTTGTTCCTTTAGTTACTACACTTGTAACTTTTTAATCCTTATAGTAACAAGGTGTGCAATGTATGTCTTCTGCAATATATTAACCACAGTGATATATTAATTTTGGATGATGTATTAACATTCCTATATGACAGCTGATGATTCGCCTCTTCAATACCACCAAACACCTCCCTGTCTTCCAGAAACAGCCGCCATGATATTTGCTTACACAATCGTCTGTATTTGCAATATTATGATGATGTAAATACTGTTCCCTGCAGCATGAGGGAGTGCACTGTTTGAATTTCCTTTCTTGTGATACTTTATGTTTTTCCTGGAGTTCCTAATTGCCTTTGCTTTTCCTTCCCTCTTGGTCTTTATAGCATTCTCATGTTTGGAGGGAGAGCTATTATCTGTTTTTTGATCTTCAAGTGTCACATCCTGGGTATTGCTTGAATTCTCCTTGAAGATCCTCTTTCTGGGACTCTCAGACCTCCTGCTCTGATCTGATCTGGAGTTCCCTTCCTCTGAGTCATCCAAGCAGTGTCTTAGGCAGTAATCAGCATGACAAAGCGTGGTTACAAGGCATCAGGATGCTGCAGGCCAGCTTGTGGGAAGTTCCACAAAGTCTCCTAAACCGAGAACCATCTCACTTCCCTCATGCGAGATCAAAGCTTCCTCCTAAATGTGACCCTATGGTTTGCTCCATTATGTAGCCACCCAGGGTACCCACTCTCGCCCTCAGCTAACCCATGTGCTTCCTGAGGTGGGCTGTCAGCAGTGACTGCATTTGTAATTCCAACCCTGACAATTCTATCTGAGCTTCATTGCTAACTTGTGGCGCTTCCTTGTCTTTGATCATTGGTTCTGGCTTCAACTTTCACGCCAAGTCATGCGGCTTTGGCTTTGCAATAGTCACCCCGCCTTACCCCATCTTCCCGGTGTGTATCATTTAATGAGCCTCATTACCAGCCCCACAAAATGGTGTGTTCAAAGACAGCTTGTGGCATCATTTGCACAGGATCACTGATTGCATTGATTAAAAAAAAAAAAAAAAAAAGTCACCCCTGAGCCCCAGCCCAGACTTGTTCAATCAAATTCCCTGGAAGTGGGGCTGGGAATCTCAACCGCCAACATTTCCAGGGGATTCTCCTACATGCCGAATTTCAAGACTGATTGCTGATGTGCACAGCCAGCTTCCCTCACCTCACGGCCTCGGCAGGGAGAGGTTGGCCCGGCCTTCCTGCCCTAGACCGCATCCAGTTATATGCAACTGTCTCGCCGTTTCCTTCCCCTTTTCCAACGGTTCTTCAAGGCCACCAAGACAGTACTTCTGCTCACTGCGATGGCACTCATCTCCAAAGCTGTCTTGAGATCGACTCAGGTGCCAGGCACTGCCCCTTGAGGAACACTGCCTCCCAGACCCAGAGATGGGACGGCCCCGTAAGCTGCCCCTGCTGCCTGCCTTCTCCCCCAGGGACCTGGAAAAGCTGTCCCTGTCCCTGCTGTCAATCACTTCCTTCGGCCACTGTGGCCTCTCAGTCCCCAGCCCCAGGGAGACTGACTGTTTCCGTTCCATTTCCACGGCTGTCCTCATAGATTCACAGACCTTGGAATGAATACATTTCAGTAGATACTACAGGACTTCTCAGAGGCTGTGAACGTTCACGTCCATTGCCAAATCCCGAAAGAGCCATCGTAAGAAGCCTTTTCCTTTCAAACTGAATTAAGCATTGGGCTCTTTTGTTAACCCACTGAACTCCCACCTGTCACTTCACCTCCCTGACACATACACACATCACACGCATACCTAAGGACACACACACACACACACACATACACACCCCACTCCTTTTCTACTGAACATGCCCCCAGAAATGCTGCCATTGCGTCTGAGGCCATGAGCCCCTAGGGAAACAAAGAAGAGAAACCAGGGACCCCTGGAGGAACAGAGAGGAAGGCATCTGGGGCCCAGAGTGGGGGCAGAAACGAGGGGCCCTCCAACAGACCACCTTTAAGCGATGGTCAGCCCAGCTGACCGACAGGCTGAAGCTGCCCTTGGAGATGTGCAGGCGAGCAGGCCAGCACGAGGCAGTGGACAAAAAAGCAGCTGTCGCCAGCCTGGCGCATCCGACTCCCGACAGTGGAGACTGTGCACGTGGACTGCGGCCGTCAGAGGTTGCGCTGGTGCCCCAGCCACCGTGACCAAGCAGAAAAGTCAGCCTGAGCTCACCCAGCTTACTCAGTGTGCAAGGGAACCCAAAAATCCACATTTGTATATGATTTGTAAACGCTGGCAATACTTTCCAAACAATTTTTAAAAAAAAGAAAAACACACTCTGTGGGCCAAACTAACTTGGTCTGTGGGCAGCGTGACCTCTGCATGGGAGCGCCCGGCTATTTCAGTTGTGTAAACACCAGGCCCCGGGTCGGGCCCGAGGGCAGTGTGGTGCGGCGGGAGGATCCTGCATTTCCAGGCAGACACTGGGCTTCCAGACGCACTCGCTGGCTACGTGACTCTGAGCACGTCACGCAAAGACCTCGATCAGACCAGCGCCCCGTGAGCACTGGGGTCTAAACACGGCAGAACACGGGAGAGAAGCTGTCCACACCATTGGTTTGTGCTGTTTGTCTCAGGTTCACCCTCCTTCACAACAGGGTCTCTGTCCTGTCCACTCCCATCCTCAGAGCAGAGGGTGGGTCCCCTCCCAGGCCCAGACCCCAGTGGGCAGGCTGAGGGAGCCTGAATTCAAGCAAGGTCTTTGGAGCAGCCCAGCTTCGAGTCCCAGCCCACTGCTGCCTGGTGCTGGGACTGCACGGAGAACCCTGCTGGGGCTGCTCCCTCACCATGCAGACTGTAACGGAGAAGGCCAGGTGCTCCGGGCAGACGGGACAAGCTAAGGGATTGGCACGTGGTAGGGGCTCAGTCAACATTAGGCCTGCCCCAGCCACCAGCTCACATCTCTCTCGCCTGCCCTCTGTCCATGCACACACCCACCCCCCATCCATCATCTTTCCACCCCTCCCTCCTTCCAGCCATCCATCTACCCACCTACTCATCCATCCCTCTATCCCTCCATCCATCTACCTGCCTACTCCTGTATCCCTCCATCCACCCATCCCTCCATCCATCCCCCATCCCTCCCTTCCTCCCTTCCTCCCTTCCTCCCTCCCTCTCTCCCCTCCTCCCTCCCTCCCTCCTCCATCCATCCTTTCCTCCCTCCCTCCATCCATTCTTCCCTTCTTCCTCCTCTTTCCCTCTCTTATTCCATCTTCCCATCTGCTCATCCCTCCCTGCATCCCTCCACCCATCCATCACTCACCCTCCCACCCCTCCCTCTCTCCCACCCTCCCTCCTTCCATCCATCTACCCTCCATTCCTCCTCCATCCATCCTCCATTCATCCGCCCATCCACCCACCCAGTGACTCACTCACACGGAGGACCTAGGTGAGTGACAGAAGAGTGAGGGCGTTATAAGGTGTGCCCCACTGTTGCCGCCCTCACAGGGCATGCTGAGGGCAGTAAGGCCCCCGTGGCAGAGCGAGGTGGCCTGAGATCCTGGGAGGCCTTTAGTGAGAAGAAAGCTAACTTGGTCATGCCCAGACTTGCAAATCTGAGCTGAGCGAGGAGTTGTGACGGAAATTTGACCAGCCTCGCCGTCTTGCCAGGAGCCAGCTTTTTGATGGTTGGCAAGCAGGGCAAAGAGAGTGGACCCTTGAGCCTGCCGGTGGGAGTGTGCACAGCCATCACATACGCGCTGAGCCCGCCCGCCTGTGGCAGGCTGGCTGCGGGAGGCACAGCAGCACCAGCCCACGTCCCCACCCCAAGCGTGCGGGAGCCCAGAGAACCTTCCAGATGCAGTGCTTCTCAAACTTGGATGCAAGTTGATTCCCTTGGAGAGCTCCAAAAATTCCTGGGGAGGTCCAAACCAGAAACCCACGGGGCCAGGCCCACCCCTGTGTGTTCTGGCGCATGGCGTGGGCTCAAACATTTTTTTCTAGAATTTATTTCTGTATTTGAATGACTGAGTTATAGAGGAGGGAGGAAGGGAGGGAGGGAGGGAGAGAGGGAGAGAGAGAGAGAGAGAGAGAGAGAGAGAGAGAGATCTGCCATCTGCTGGTTCACTCCCCATATGGCTGCAACAGTCAGAGCTGGACCAGGCTGAAGCCAGGAGCCAGGAACTGCATCCGGGTCTCCCACATGGGTGCGAGGGTCCAAGCACTTGGGCCATCTTCTGCTGATTTCCCAGATGCATTAGCAGGGAGCTGGATCAGAAGCAGAGCATCCGGGGCTCAGACTGAGTACCCCTATGGGATGCTGGCATCGCAGGCAATGGCTTAACCCACTGCACCCAACACGAGCACCTTGGGTGCTTTTTAAAGGGCCCCGGGAGGTTGCACTGTGCAGTAAGAAAGAGGATCACCGTGCTAAGGATGACCAAGCAGCTGCCCTGACTTCTCTTGCCAAGTCTCCACGCACAGGGGCAGAGCCCAAGAAGAGCCCACCCCCTCTCTCCACAGCCAGCACACACACACACACACACACTCACATCGTCCTGAGGGCACAGCCACTGGTGCCCCAGAACACAGAGCTGAGCGAGTCACCCAGGCTTCCTCTGCTTGCTTATTTTTCCTTTTTGTTCATTTCCCTCCCCCCCTGCCTGGCATCGGGTAGGAAGGAAGGGGCGGTGGAGTCAGATCCCCTGCGTGTGAGCCCAGACCTATCAGTCACCGGCTTCATGGCCTTGAGCGGGCGGGCCCCTGATGCTCTGGGCTTTCCCGTCTGCAGGGAAGGAGCCGAGCTGTGCCTGTGAGGTCACGGGCAGCCTCGTGGTGCCTGGCATGGATCAGGTGGGCAGGAGGTGTGGCCGCCCTCCTTCCCCCACCGCCTCTGCCGGCCACCACACCTCGGCACACTGCAGCCTCTGCAGGCCTCCCTCTGTTGTCATCTGGGCTTGGGTTTTGCCCCATGTAGAAGTGAAGGCGCCATCGTGGTGGCGTTTCCTTGTAGAACAGAGGAAGCAATGCAACCTGCACACCACACAGCACATGTGGCGCGTGCAGGAGCTGGTACTTAGGAAACCTCACCCTTGCTGAGTGCTGCGACGGCGGTTCCCGCCGGCAACCGCCTCCAGGCAAAGCCGGGGGCTGCAGACTCAAGCCATCCTTCCTCAGACAGGCGCTCTTGCTTCTGCCGGAGCTCTCCGCCTGGGTTTGCAGACGTTGTCCCCAGCTGGGCATCAAGAGTGACATCTGCCCCAACAGCCCCCAGGTCGCTCCCTGGAACCCCAGGTTTGCATAAACAATGCCCCCGGGCGCTGGAGTCGCCACCTGCACCTCACAGTATCTCTGACCTGGCTCTCCGGCCGGCAGGTGACTACATCCAGGGCTGAGCTCGTCTCCTCCTGGCTGCAGGACCCTCCCCGGCCCCAGCCAGCACCAGCTCTTGCTGGGTTCCTGGCCTCTTGATGCTGCCCCGGCCTCTTTTCAGTTTGGTCTCTGCTCAGCCTGAGTGTTCTTACGAAGCTTAAAGCATTTCATTCACCCAACAGTCACTTATTGAGCACCTACTGTGTGCTCTAACAACTTTGCATCTTAGGCTGATCCTACAGGGAGGCCTCCTCCAACCTCATTTCCTTCCCCTCCTCTGCCCTCCCCCCTCTCCTGTCCCCTCCCCATCCTTCCACCCGAGGTAGGTCACCTGCCTTCTAGAAGGTTCCAGGACCCAGGCTGGCTCACTTCCTCACTCCCACCCAGTCTTTGTGGCAGTACTGTCATCCCCAGTGAGGTTTTCTCCGTCCATCTGAATAGATTAGAAGCTGCCTCCTCCCAACACCCCTCCCTGCTCCACTTTTCTCTGGGACACTTGTCCCTGTCACCATTCCCTATGGCCTCTTTGTCTTTCCTCTACCACCCTCTGCATGTGAGCTCTTGGAGGGCCCAGCTGTTGTGTGTTTTCCCCACAGCTGAGTGCCCAGCACCTGGACCGCTGTGTAGAGACTGCTGCTTTCTGATGCACTCTGCTTGCCTACCCAGAATGCAGAGCAGCATCAGGCTTTGTGCCAGGTGGGGGGGACGGGACAGGAAGCAAGGCCCCTGGGACCCCAGCCCTGGGGAGGCTCTGTCCTCTCTCCCCAGTGCCCAGCTGCGAGGGCACTCCCACCCTCTCTGTGCTCAGGTCCCAGCAAAGCCCCCGCCTCCGGGAGTCACCCCTTTTGCATCTCCCTGCCTGGGACTTTGGCGTGCTCCCTCGCCCGTGTTGGGAGCGGTGCCCCAGGGACTTGGGGTTGGGGTTGGGGTGTGACCCAGCCGTGGGAGGCGGCCATAGAGGCCCCCTCCGGGCCTGACTCGGCCACCCCCACCCCCGTGTTTGCAGAGGTGGTCGGCGTGGGCTGCATCCTGGACGGGGTGCGCTACGACAACGGCGAGTCCTTCCAGCCCAACTGCAAATACAACTGCACGTGCATCGACGGCACCGTGGGCTGCACCCCGCAGTGTCTCAGCGCGCGCCCCCCGCGCCTCTGGTGCCGCCGCCCGCGGCGAGTGAAGGTGCCCGGCAGCTGCTGCGAGCAGTGGGTGTGCGAGGAGGATGCGAGGAGGCCACGCAAGGCCACGCCCCGCGACACCGGGGCCTTCGGTGGGTGCCGGGCCTCCAGGGAACAGGAGCCGGGGGAGGGGAGGCTGTACCCGTGGAACTGCCACCGCCTGGGAACCACTCCAACCCCTGAGCCTGGCCCCCGCCCCGCCTCTTACCAGCTGTGTGACCTGGGAAAGTCACGTCTCCTCTGAGACCCAATTTTCCCATCTGTAAAATGGGAATAATATCACTCGCCCTGCCTGTCTCATGGATCCTCCCAGCATAAAATGAGGAGATGCTTTGGAAAGAACAAAACCTTACACACGCAATCCTTTGTGAGGCTAGTCAAGAGCTTGGGTGGGGGAGTAGAGGAGGGGTGTGTCTCTAGTGGGGGAAGACACAAGCAGCAGGTGCAAGCGAGGGCAGGGCTCCGGTAGAAGCTTCGTGATGGCTTGAGTGCCACCCACCCCCACGTACTTGCAATGGAGAATGGGTGGGCAGGTGAGGTTTCAGCCAGGTAAACCAGATAGGAGGAAGCCCTGAACAGGAAGGGTACAGACAGGTTTGTTTGTTGCACCACTGACTCCTGGAGCCTGGCCCAGGACCAGACACTTAGTGGGTACCCAATCAGTGTTTGTCATATAGATGGATGGATGGATAAATGGATGGATGATTGGATAGTGAGATGGATGGGTGACGCAGGGAGAGATAGATGGATGATGAGTGGATTGGTGGATGGATGGCTGATGAATGGATGGATAGATGGGTGGGTGAATGGATGATAAACGGATTGGTGAATGGGATGATGATGACTGAATTGGTCAGTGAAATGATGGATGGTGAATGGATGGGTGATGAATGGATGGATAGATGGATGATGAATGGATGGGTGGATGGATGGGTAGACAGAAAGATGAATGGATGGATGATACATGGATTGGTGAATGGGATGATGATGACTGAATTGGTCAGTGAAATGATGGATGGGTGATGAATGGATGGATGGAGGGATGGATGGGTAGATGGAAAGATGAATGGATGGATGATAAATGGATTGGTGAATGGTGTGATGGGGAATGAATGGGTGAGTGGACTGATGGATGGGTGATGAATGGATGGATGGAGGGATGGATGGGTAGATGGAAAGATGAATGGATGGATGATAAATGGATTGGTGATGGGTGATGGGGAATGAATGGGTGAGTGGACTGATGGATGGGTGGGTGGATGGGCTAATATGGACCTGAACTAGGGCAGCGGGAGTACATGTGCTGAGGATGGAACCAACGAAGAGGTGATGCCAAGAGTGAAGGTCCTGGCATCGATCCAATGCCAATGTGTAGGGGGCAGTGAGTGAAAACAGGGTGACTCCCAGGGCTCATCCTTATCTAGGACAGAATACAAGAGAAGGAACATGTTTGGGGCCCAGGGGATCTGCCTGGGGTGAGACAGGCTGGCTTGGACCGGTGGAAGCAGGGTGCCCTGCCTATGAGACCATAAAGAGGTGCGCCCACTGGAGACAGTCTCGGAGGAGGGAGCGAGCCCTGGCGTCATCTGCTTGGAGCTGGTGGAGGGAGATGGCCGAGGGATGCTACTGGGGGCAGGGGACCAGGCTGACCTCTGAGCGCTGGGCCGTGGGCAGGAGACAAGGAGGTGACGGGAGACAATGAGGGTCAAGAGGAGGACCAGGGGCCTCTGTGCCATTTCTAGAGAGAAGTCTGTGCCAGGCAAGTGGCCATGAAGGACTGAGGGAAGGAACAGAGTTTGGGCTCTGTTTTTTCATTAAAAGCGCGTGGGATCGCTCGGGGGCTCAGGGGCTTTGTCGACTCCTCAGCACTGGTGCCGCCGGCACTTGGCTGGGTGCTTCTCTGGGGTGGGGGCTGTTGCCTGCACTGCCAGAGGTCAGCAGCACCTCCTGCCCTGACAACCCCAAACACTCCTCACATCGCCCCATGTGGCTCTGGGGGCAGCAGTGCCCAGGGGGCGCTGCAGGGACAGCCCGGTCCCCAGCGGGCCTAAGGCAGTGGGGCAGCTGTCTCACCACAGCCCCCTCAGCAGGGCCACGGCAGGGTCACGGGGAGGGGCGAGGCAGAGGCCAGCTGCCCATCGGGTGTGGCCCAGTGACCCCGTTCTGGCCGGCACAGGCTGAGCCCCTGCAATGCTGCCCAGCTGACCCAGAAACCCAAGCTCTTGATCCTCCCTAGCACCACCTCCCAGATGCTCACAGCCCGGCTCAGCCGAGCCCGGCTCTCCTCTGCCATCAGACGCTCCTCCCCCCACCCCCACCCCAGTCTTGCAGGCTTCTCCTCCTCCCAGTCACACTCTGGAGTTCCCTGCACAGGTCTGGGGGGGCGGTGTGTGCCACACTGAATGTCCCTCTCTTTCTTTCTCCTTCTGATCCGCCATAGACATAGACTCCTCCCTCCCGGGCTTCTTGCCTCTCCCCTGTCCTGCCCCACTGCAAGCACGCCCTACTCCCTTCCATCCTTCCCTCTCCCCCTTCCTGCCTCTCTGCCTGCTGCTCCCTCCCTGGTGCTCGCCCGTGTGCTCACGGTGGGTGAGCCTCCTGTTATCTTGTGCATCGGGCGGCGGCATCTCTCTGGGGGCAGCCCTCTTGCTGCCTTGTCACCTACGTCAGCCCCTCCTCCCTCTAATGTTGGCACATATACCTGCCAATAGAACCCCCAGGGGTCAGTGGCTGAGCCAGCCAAAGGTCAAGTAACCACACAAGCTTGCAGCGACCGACGGATGGCTAAGGGCCAGGACCAGCCGGACAATTTCACACGTGTGCAGTCGGCTCCCGACTCTTCCCTGGAAGGGCTATGCTGCTGGCAACTCCATCTGATGTGGGCTTTGGGGGTGGGATGGGAGGGGGAGGGGAGAGCCAGCTGGTTGGAAGTTTGGCAGCCCATAGACAGCAGTGCCAGGGGCTGCAAGCCGAAGCCTGATGCCCCCTGAACGCTATGCCCTGGTATGGTGTGATGAGGTGTCAGGAGCCAGGCTACAGAGACTCACCTGTGACCCTCCCCCAGATACACAGAACCTCTGCAGAGGCAGGCTGCGTGTCTCCTTAACCCCCTCTTCCCAGCACCCAGCAAGGTGCTCTGTGTGTACCCAGCCAGCCCTGTAAGGCAGATGTGATTGTTCCCAGGAGGAGAGCGAGGCCAGCGGGGGCTGTGTAAGGTGACACAGCTTGTGGGTGGCAGAGCAGGTGAACGTGGGGCCGCCAGTCTCTAAGGAGGGCTTCCTTCAGGGTTTCCATGTGGCCACCAGATGGCTGACAGATGCCCTCCTCTCCCGCTGCTGGGAAGCCCACTGGCTCTGCTGTGGGGAGGAACAGCCCGGTCCCCCGCCCCACCCCAGTCCCCAATCCTGGATGTGGTGATGGAAGGGTTAGGGACGGGTGAGGTCGGAGCTTCATGGGGAATGTGGTCTCTCTGCAGAGGTGGCGGGCGAGGTGGAGCCGTGGCACAGTAACTGTATCGCCTACACCAGCCCTTGGAGCCCCTGCTCCACCAGCTGTGGCCTGGGGATCTCGACTCGGATCTCCAACGTGAACGCTCGGTGCTGGCCAGAACAGGAGAGCCGCCTGTGCAACCTGCGACCCTGTGATGTGGACATCCGCCATCATATCAAGGTGGGTCCAGAGCGGGGCTGACCTCTTGCTCTTCCCAGACAAGCCCGGCCTCCGGCCTGACGCCGGGGCTTCCTCGTGGGGGCCGTTGACACAGTGGGAGTCAGTAGCCCAGCTGGCAGGGTCTGCCGTCGCCGACATCTGGGACAATCCATGTCACTAGGCTGGTGAATTTCACTCATCAGAAGCTTCTGTGATTCCTATTGGCAGAACCAAGGTCACAGGGAATTCAGGGCTCCCCTGAAATGACCGAGGGCCTCTCCCTGACTTCTGTCCTCCCTCCACGCCCACGCCTGCCCACATCCGCCTGCACCGAGGCGTAAGACAGCCGTGCTCAGTGACAGGAGGGCTCTGGAGCGTGGGCGCCGCTGCATGCAGCCATCCGTGCACTGTGGCTGACTGTGGCCAGTCGCCCCCCTCCGAGCCTCAGGCCCTCAGTATTGGAATACTGGAGTTCAGCTCTGAAATCCCTTCCAGCTCTGGGAGTCGATGATAATTAAAATAAATCGACTGAGCTCCGGCCCTCAGAGCTAAACATGGATCTGATCTGCCTAGTCCAAGGCCTCCTCACTCATTGGCCTCACACTGGCCTGCCCGGTATCACAGCAAAACCAAGCTTGGCACCGGCCCCGGGCTTGCAGCCTTCTCGGGATACTAAGGAAAAGGCGGTGCAGCTGACGAGACAGCCCCGCTTCCCATGATCCTCTTCAGACATCCAACACTGCCCCGATTCCTGGGCCGCGTCTGCAGCCATCTCTCAGTTGGTCGGCCGGATCCACCCACCCTCTTTCTTCTCTCTTCTGCTTCTTCTCTGAGCATTTCCTCCTGCCACAGCGGCCTCTGTATGCTGGGTGCTCGGCACACAGTGGTCCTTGGTAGACACCTCTCACCTGAAATCATGAGTGGAAAAGACACCAACAGCAGGGGACTCGGGAGCTGAGATGCTGAGCTGAGAGACGGTTCTACCACAAAGCAGAGGCACATCTGTCACTGCAGGCTTACGGCTCCTGCCCAATTCTGTTTCCATAGTTACCATTCTAAGGGGTCCCTCCAACTGTGGAAGTGTCATGTCCCACATAGCCTACACCTCTGCTCCACCCCAGCTCCATCAGTCTGGAGTAGACCCCAGGCACGATTCATGCAATGAGTTTGGGAAATGATCACGATGTACAAGGCATGCAATGAGCCACAGACACAGAGCCCCCAGCATCAAAGCACCCACAGCACCTTCGATTCAAGTCCATCCAGGTGAATGGAGTGGGAGGCCGTGGGGAGAGGGGGTTAGGGCAGAGCACGGCTGCTGTGTGCGGCGTCCCTGGGTTCACTCGACTCCCCAGGCTGCTGAGGCTGTGATGAATGACTGGGCAGAAACATGGAAGGAAAGGGAAGGGACAGGCAGTCAGATACAACCCACGCAAAGCAATGCTCCTCTGTGCTCCCCGGTTTACTTGTGCTGAACACGGCTGGACCACACTGGACTTGACAATGTTCCTCCTTGCTTGAAGGTGCTGAGGAGCCAGAAGGAAGATGAGGTGCCCCGGGAGAACTGGGGGTGTGGAGGGAAGGCTGGTGGGTGCTCATCCTCTGAGCACACCGACTCAAACTGCCTTTCCTTTCCTGCAGGCAGGGAAGAAGTGTCTGGCTGTGTACCAGCCAGAGGTGCCCATGAACTTCACGCTCGCCGGCTGTGTCAGCACCCGCTCCTACCAACCCAAGTACTGTGGGGTCTGCACGGACGACAGGTGCTGCATACCCTACAAGTCCAAGACCATCAGCGTGTCCTTCCAGTGCCCCAGCGGGCCTGGCTTCTCCCGCCAGGTCCAGTGGATTAACGCTTGCTTCTGCAACCTGAGCTGCCGGAATCCCAATGACATCTTTGCTGACTTGGAATCTTACCCCGACTTCTCAGAAATCGCCAATTAGGCAGACACACAACACATGGTGCAGAGTCTGGCCAGCCCTCCGTGGCCAGCAACTTTCACAATTGGTTCTTCCTCGGCCAGCTTCCTACTCACTTCTCACTAGCCTGGTCATGGCTCATGGCCTCCTTTATTTCTCAGACCACCCGGATGACCCATGACGGTGCTGCTCCAGCCCAGACTGCGTCCCCTCCATGGCAGGCTCCTGCAGCCACTCCAAAGAAAAGGCCCGATTCTGGCTTCTCAGGACAAAGCCCACGCCTGGTCCAGCCTGTCCAGGTTGCTGGGAGCCCTGCTCGGTCTTGTCTGAACTGCAAGGAGTGGGGGGCAGCCAGACTTGCGATCTCATTAATTCCTCTTTAGAGGACAAATCACAGAATGCGCCCCATTCAGAAACACGGGCGGGCTCGGGGGCTACAGTTCCTTGGGCCCTACCAAGTGGCACTCGAATGCTCCCGTCACACCCCAAGACTAGCTCTGACGCCAAAGACTCGTGCATGCTGAGGTCACCAGGCATTTGCCAGGTGAGGTGAATGGCTGCTTGGTTTGGATTTGTAAGGGAAAGTTGCATCCACTAACCTGAGCACTGCTAGAAGTTAGGTTTCTCTTCACCCATTCTAGAGAGTCCCAGTTGGGTTCATTCCAGTGAGAAATGCGATTTGACAAACTTTATTCATGCTCGTGGAAAAAAAAAAAAGTCAATACCCCAGGGACAGGGCAAGGTCAGCCAAGTTCAGAGGCAGCCATTGACTGACAGGGCTTCAGGCTGTGGGCCTGGCCCTTCTTGCATCCCAGGTCTCTCCTGCCAGAGGGGCTCATGGGAGTTGACAGAACCCCTGTGGGTGGTGTCTGGAACATTCCTTTCTTTTAGGGGCCTTGGGAGGTGCCACTGAAGTCCAGGCCACCCCCACCTATGATGACCAAAGACAGGTACAGGTGTGCCGTGGATCACCCAAGAAGTGGGTGCAGCCTGCCTCCCTCCAGAGCGGAGCCTACAGGACCACAAAGGGCCTGGAACCTGGACCAGCACACATCTGTGTCTGTGGCAGGAACCCCTGGCACGGCTTCGGGTCTGCTGACCAATGGGCTGTCCAGTTTTCTGGTCTGAACACAGGGGTTGACCTCTGTAGAAATGGACAGACGTTGGAGCAGGTGTTATAACCCCAAAGCGGGTAGAGGTAAAAGGGAGGGAAGGCTATGATCCATGGAAATGAAGCCATCACTTATTTTGTTAGTAAAAGACCATTCTTGCTGTTGCGGTTCTTGCAACACCTCTGCATGCCCTGCACTGTTCTCAGGGCTCCACATCCCCCAGCTCACCGACTCCGCATGGTCATGGGCAGCCAATCCCGTCAGGCCTTGGGCTCCTACAAGTGTGAAATGGGAGCTCCGAGAGGCAGGCGAGGAAACTTGACCAGAGTCACCCAGCTGGTGGGGGAGGGACTGGGACTCAGAGCCAAGAGGGACTGACTTGATAGCTCCTGCTCCCTGCCCCCCCCCACACTTCTTTTAGAGCTTCCGAAAGCGTAGGATAGGAATGCATAGAGGAATCGCCATGTCCTACTTTGACGTTTCACTCTTCTCTTCCCCAGAGAGGACAGTCCGGGTGTTTGATGTCAGGTACCCAAAAAGGCAGGGGGGATAGACAGAAGTCCACGCATTCCTTATAGATCACCTCCCCCTTTACACCAGAACCAGCCCGCTTCATGCATTCAAAAGTGACTCTGTCCACCCAGCACTGCACATTGAATACTCACGCACGGCTACTCACGAGGGACTCGTGTGCACCGCCCGGGGGATTCCTGAGCAGAAGGAACAGGGAACGGACCCTCCTACTGTGACCTCCCGAGAGCCTAGCCAGCGCTAGGCAGACCGTGGTGCTCAAACATATCCGATGAATTCCTGTTGTATGTGTTCCGACTTCTATTCCGAAGCTCTCCCTGCCAGGGTTTACGTGAAAATCCAATTTTCACCAGCCAAACCTTCTCTTAAGAGCCATATGGAAAGAGATGGCTAACGTTTTAAAGGAACGTGGAGTGGTTTGCATTCCTGTGTCGCGTCTTCTGGGTGCACGTTGTGGGTTTTCTTCCAGGGCAAACAGCTGCGTCCGTGAATCACAAGGCTAGGCGTGAGCTGATTCCACCTGAAATATTCAAGAAAACCCCTGGTCCTACTGAACTGGTGTTCTGATTTGGGAAACTGAACAGAGCTTCCCAGGTCATTGTAGGCACGGCGGGAGGGACTGGGGGTCATCCCGAGAGTGGGTGGGGGGTGATGTTGGGAACGCGCCAGCTCCTGGTGGCTTTGGGAAAATAACCTGCCCCACGCAGGGCCTGGAGAGAATTCTGGAATCCACGGAGTGAGATCAGGAGGAAGACCTTTTCCACAACTGTGTGGCCCGCTGCTGAGAATGACAATCGTTAATGAAAAACCTCCTCTGACCGAGTGCTTACTGGAGCCAAGCACCACGTTACACTGTGCGTGATCTTACTATGGCGGCCGCTTGTGTCTGCTTCTCTTCTCTATTCCGCACGCGGAGAAGCCAGGACTCCAGGAAGCTGGGACATCAGCCAAATCACTGCTGCAGCCCAGGCCCCCGCTGGTGCTCCTCTGCCTTGCTCTCGGGAGGACCCAAGGCACGGCCCGAACAGCTCCTGTTGGAGAACCCATCGGCTGGGGGTGCAAAGAGGCCAAGGGCTCCTCGCGGTCTCTCTGATCCTTTGTAACTCCACAATCTGACACAGGAGAGAGAACCTCACATTACTGCTTAGGATGAAGCTCTGGTGTGCCGCGGTGGAGACGGAGGGGGCTCGGGATTCATCAAACCACTCTTTCTGAAGCTTAGCGAACTTTATTATGAGCATATGGTGACGGCTTAGCGTGTGCCAGCCTTGCACTACGTACGTTAAGTGCTGAATCTCATGGAACCCTCATAGCAAACCCCAAGACACGGAATTGCTTGTGTTTGTCTTAGAAGACGAGCTGTGCTTCCTAGAGGCTATGTCATTGGCTCAGGCTCTTTCCAGCCAGCAAATGGCAGACCGGGATGGCAAACCCAGGATTCTCCGACCCCTGAGCCGTCTCTCCTAATGCCACACCTGGGTCTCCTGGCACTCGATCAGGAGGTAGGATTTCTCCAAGAGGTGCTTAACTGACAATCGCCGCCATCTCAACTCTGCAGTGACTCAGAGAGTGATCAAAGGAAGCCGATGCAAAGGCCAGGACAGTCTGGGATCTCAGTGACAGCGGCTGTGTAGCCGAAGGGACTGTGCACACGTAGTGTGGCTCGTACCACGATGTTGATCATGTCGCCGCTTTTCAAATACTTATTTTTGATGCAAAATAACCCGCACGATAACCCTGCCCGTGAGCGAGCGAGAACTTTGTCCGTGTCTCTCTGTACCTCTCGATGTGTATATATGTATGTATCTATTTTTAAGCTGTGACTTAATATTAACTATTTCTACTGCCACTTTTGTTAAGTGACCAAAACTATGAAACGTCTTAGACTTTCTCACAGAGGGCCCACAGCCCTCGGGCCGTCCGCCATGTCTTAGAGCATCCCTCCTCTTGCTCGTGATGTGTGTAGCATGCAACGTGTTTGTTCATCGCAAATGGTTTTTGTCCCGCAAATCCCCTGTGTAAGCTTCTTTCCTTAAAGCAATAAACCTTCAGCAGAGCAACCCCTGGATGTGGTGGCTTTCTCATCTCCTCGGTTACGAGGAGGTGGTGCTGCACCATTGAGTGCATTCAATGACTGCCGGGTGGTGGACACAGGTCTCAGTGCGTTACGCATGGAAACAATGATAGCTTAGATGGGCTTGGAAACATCAGTTCTAGGAGTCAGAGCAGAGCAGAGCTGCCAATGCGTTCCGGATGAAAGACGTCACGTGAATACACAGTGGAGGTTTGGGGCATTCACGCACCCACTCACACGTTCATTTCTTCAATGCCATTCTACTCCCCATCTGGACTGAGGGTTCCCCGGAGGTCAGGGACTGCTATGTCTGCACAGCAGGGTGCGTGGCACGTGGCCAGTGCTGCTTGCCGAGGGCTCCAGGGGAGCACCTGCAGGGGTGAGGGGGGCTGCTGGACACAGTGGAGACGGACCTGACTTCGGGGGGCCAGGTGGACTTTGACACACAGGTCGAGTGTCCCTAACCTGAGATGTTCCAAAGCCCAAAGGGATGCGCACGACGCTGCAGGTTTGTCCGCATTTCAGAGTTCAGACTTTCAGGTTACGGAGGGATAACTCGCAGAGCCTGGGCACACATTGCAAAACCAAAGAACCCTGAATCTGAAGCACGTCTCTCCCACGCATTCCGGGTACGGGCTGCTCAGCGTGCGTTACTCCTTCCCGGAGTGAGCCCTTGGCAGTCTCAGCTTCCTCGGCTGTGGAATGCAGGCGACAGAACCGGCCTCTTGGTGGGATCCGCATCACGCACTGCACAAGCTTAAATAGAGCTCGGGACACGGTCGGCACGGAGTGACCCGTCTGCTGCCTGCCCAGTCCCAGTCCCAGTCCCCCGGTAAAAGAGGGCTTATCCACAAGTTACAATTTCTACCAATGTGCTTACGTATTTCTTTAGAAGTAGCAAGTAAGATATGTCACTAATATCCAGTTGAATGCTTTTTACTTTAATCCCAGACTTGTTCCCTTAATTTTTTTTATTTTTATGTCCTGATTTTATGCTGCAACTTGATTTAAAATCATACACTCTTGCAGCTTTTGAAGGCTAGAGGCTGTCACACACTCTTCCACGTCTCCCAACACCAGCATAGGATGCAGCCCTCATTCAGCCGCGTGAACAGATGTGCGGATGGCTGGAAACGATGGCGTGGGTGACTCTTGATCCCTTCAAATCAAGTTTCCATCTCGCCAATATCCTCCCCCGCCCAACACATGATGAAGCAATCAAAGTCAGGGGAGAGTTCATTCCAACAGAAAATTCCCAGGCGAATGGTTTCTAAGCACACCTGTCTGCGGAGGCATATTTGGTTCAAAGTGGAAAGCTAGACGGTGGAGCCCGTGGGCGTGTCGGATGAAGAGGAATGTGTGTGTATGTGTGTGTGTGCGTGTGCGCACATGTGTGTGTAGACTTTGGGGGGAATTCCTGAGGATCTCAGGCAGTTGCAGTTTTAGGAAAATAGAATTTGGAAAAAAATGGCCAGAGCATTTCACTCTGAGGCATTTTCTTCTAAGATGCATCCAGCAGAGGGGCCGGTGCTGTGGCGTAGCAGGTAAAGCCGCTGCCTGCACGCTGGCATCCCATGTGGGCACCGGTTCGGGTCCCGGCTGCTCCACTTACGATCCACCTCCCTGCTATTGTGCCTGGGAAAGCAGTGGAAGATGGCTCAAATGTTTGGGCCCCTGCACTTACGTGGGAGACCAGGATGAAGCCATTTGGGGAATGAACCAGTGGATGGAGGATCTCTGTTTCTCCCCCTCTCTAACTCTGCCTTTCAAATAAACAAACACTTAAAAAAAAAAAAAGCATACAGCAGAGATGCCTGTGTAATCCATCAGCAAAACAAAAAACACACAATGTATCCTCTGTCTCCAGAGGCTCCACTCCAGCTGAATCCGAGCTCTCTCCCAATGTAAGACCGAGCAAAAATGACCTCTAAGGAGAAGCAAAAATGACCTCTAAGGAGAAGAGAAAGCCGGCCCAGAGCTCACGTACTGGCTCCCACACTCTGTAAAGAATGGACGTCTCCAAATCGCCACTCAAAACTCATTGTTGGAGCAGGCATTCGGGGCAGGGCTTAAATCATCAGCTCAGACGCCTGCATCTCACACTGTCGTGTCGGGCTTTGAATCAATGTTCTGCTTCCAATTCCAGCTTCCGGCTATGCACACCCTGAGAGGCAGCAGGGACGGTTTAAGTAGCTGGGTCCCCGCTACCCACAAGGGAGACCTTGTATAAAGAGCTGAGCTTCAGGGCCGGCACTGTGGCACAGCAGGTAAAGCTGCTGCCTGCAGTGCCAGCATCCCATATGGGTACCGGTTTGAGACCCGGCTGCTCCACTTCTGATCCAACTCTCTGCTATGGCCTGGGAAAGTCCTTGGGTCCCTGCACCCACGTGGGAAACCCGGAAGAAGCTCCTGGCTTCGGATCAGCGCAGCTCCAGCCATTGTAGCCAATTGGGGAATGAACTGGACAGAAGACCTCTCTCTCTCTCTCTCTGCCTCTCCTCTCTCTGTGTAACTCTGACTTTCAAATAAACAAATCTTAAAAAAAAAGACACCATGAAAGCAAGTCACTGGACTTTGAGAGGGACAACAGAATGGAGAGACAAACACTCCCACAGGCAATAAAGTCCTGATGGCACCCACTGTCCCCGGATGGCATCCACAGTCCTACTTGGTCCCAGGAACCAACCGATGCTTCCCAAGCCAAGACATCAACAGGCGACAGCACAAGTTACGTGCTCAGGGACCTGTTCTCAAAGGCGGGAGGAATCTAATCCACTTCTGACTGCTCAAGCCGGGTCACCCCAAGCCTTGGTTTTCTTATTCACGGAGCCACGGGAACTCCTCCTCCCAGGAAAGAAGAAGCTGGGGGCGGAGTCATCAGTTAACAGAGCAAGCAAGCGTTGCTCCGTGTTTCCAGAGCTCTCCACCCTGTGCTCTGCCCCCCCCCCCCCCCTGTTGCCACACGCAGCTGGGAGATGGCTAGTTTTGGGGGAAAGAACTCAGGAGGTCATGTGCATTAGAAGTGCGGCTTGGGCCACCTCCGCAGGGTGGGTCTCTGGGGAGGGCTCCGAGGCCGGGTTGAGGAAGGCCACGTTCTGCGGCAGTGAGCCAGGCTCTCAGTGGCATCAGCTGCCACAGCCCCATCAAGTGCTCAGCGTCCCCCCTACCCTGACCCCCATGTGTACGCCACTCACTTCACAAAGTCGGCAGAAAAATGGAATTTCATAAGTGTGTTTTGCTGCAAATGCATTGTGAAACCCATGCATGGCTTTTTGTTTTTTTAAGATTTATTTATTTGAGGGGCAGAGCTACAGACAGAGGGAAAGAGAAAGAGAGAGAGACCTTCCATCTACTGGTTCACTCCCCAAATGGCTGCAATGGCTAGAGCTGGGATGATCTGAAGCCAGGAGCCAGGAGCTTCTTCTGGGTCTCCCTGATGGGTGCAGGGGCCCAAACATCTGGACCATCTTCTACTGCCTTCCCAGACCATTAGCAAGGAGCTGGATCTGAAGTGGAGCAGTTGGGACTTGAACCTGCATCCATAGTGGGTGGTGGTGCTGCAGGCAGAGGCTTGGCCCACTATGCCACAGCGCCAGCCCCCACACATGGCTTCTCATCAGCCTTTTCCCATGAACTTTTTGAAGACTCCTCTTATATAAGGCAGAGAGGGTCTGGGAGCCAGGTGCACCCCATCCCGGTTGACTGGACAGGGGTGAACACTTGAGCCCAGCTGGGCAGATTAGAGACTCAAGACGGCATTAGATCCAGGCCCAGAACAGAAAGCCCAGGTCGCAGCTGCGTTAGGGGTCCTGTTTCATGCCGGAGACACAGAGAAATCTGGTTTGAGGAGGAAGGAAGTGGATCTGCTCGGTGGACCCCTCCCCAATCCCATCTCCAACCCCACCAGGCCATGCCTGGACTTCTCCCCAGGGATTCCACGTGGGACACTGCAGATGGGCTCCTGCACCCCCAAAGAGGCCCAAGACACACCCGCCATCAGATGCACTTTTGCCACTTCGAGGGCCACTCCCGGGGCTCTCACTGCAACACTGCTGTTGGGGGAGAAGCAGCGAGGAAGACGGCAGGTGGAGGCTGTGCTGGGCCCTGCAGGGCCCCCCTCTGGCTGACCTCAGTGTACGTGGCCTCCCAACTGCAGCTGAAAGCCAAGGTCAGGGGCTCTGAAACCAAAACCAGAAGCCAGGGAGAACAGAAATAGACGCTCTGGGCTCACCACCTCTAAGCAGCACCTGACACCTGCAGACACATGGAAGTCCCCTCCCCCCCCAAAGCTGCCTGCGCCAACCCCTAAAGCTGATGCGTGCACCCCCGCAGGGCTGTCCCATCGCTCGCTCCTCCTCGTCCTGCCTGTGCCTTCTCTCTTCCCACCTCTCACACAGGACCTGAGGCAGGCAAGGCGCAGCTTGTGTCTGCTGAGTCAGCCCTGTGCCTGCAGAGCCGGCCTCCCTCACCTGGGGCCTCGCACAGAATTCAGGGGCCACATCCTTGCATGGGGAAACAAAGGCAGCTTTGTTTGCCCTGAGCTCTACCTGCAATTTCGCACTTCCTTCTGTCTACGTGCAGGCCAAGAGACCTCAGCGATGTCACCAGCTGGAATGAGAGAAGCGTTATGCTGAGGCAGCCAGGGCCGGGCACTCACCAGTAGGGCAGACTGCTGGCCTGCCCTTCCGTTTCACTAAGAAAGCAGCCCGTGATACCAAGGCACACAGGTGCCACCTTCGGATCATTCCACTGCACTCTAAGTGGTACCTGTAGTAGCCTTTGGTATGTCGTGGGGTCATAAGACGACTCTGGCTTATCGGAGGAATCACCTCCCAGCCCAAGGCGCCAGCCTTCCCCTCTGCCAGCCCCTCCCCAGGGTCCTCTCTCCAGCCTCATTTCCTGCCCTGCGTAGCCTCTCACGAAGGCTGACCACGCCCACCCTCCTCCGTGCCTGGTGCCACGCTGACCCCCATGCTGGGAACGCCT